TCCTAACAGCTGTCTTTCTTGAAAGATAGCAAGTTTGGTGTAGTGGTTAAGGCACTAGAAATCAGAAAAGCATGATTTCTAGTTCCATCTTAGGCATGGAACCAGCTAGGTGACTAGGTAGTCGCTCTCTCTCAGCCCTAGGAAGGATGCAATGGCAAACACTTCTGAAAATATTGCCAAGAAAACTGCAGGGACTTATCTAGGCAGTCACCAGAAGTCAATGCTGACTCAAAAGTGACTGATCTATCATATGGTTTGATAGGGCTTAATCAAGCATGCAAGTATTGGAAGAAATATCCATTTGGGTTCAGTTCCATGTGAGGAGAAAGACACTGAAAACATGTAGGCTGATTGGAAAGATGGTTTATTGATGGACAGGACTACATGAGGTTTAGGTCCTGGGAAGCTGAACACATGGAATGGAGAGTCAGTGTTATTTATACCCTCTCTTGGGCATTGCCCTAGAGCTCCCTGTTCCTGTGCAAGAAATGTATTCTATTGGTTGCTGTCAGACTCCCAGGGGGCTATGCAGGGGTCATAGCTAACTTTGTAGGTTTTCTGAGTCAAGTTTGGTTGAATCTTGGGCTGATGCAATGCAGTTCCTATTGTGGCTGAATGGCTTTGCCCTGAAGGATAATCCCATCATCCTGGAGCTGAAGGCCTTTTGTCTTATAGATAGGCTGGCCCAGTCCTGCTGAGGCTATTAAGAAAGGTGGGGGCTGTTTTCCAAGACACGTTTCTCCTTTTCTTGTCCAGGGAAATATAATATTCTGCCTTTTTTTTTTTAATTTGATTTATATGCCACCCTTCTCCAGAGACTCAGGGCGGCTTACAATGTGCTAAGCAATAGCCTTCATCCTTTTGTATATTTATACAAAGTCAGTTTATTGCCCCCACAACTGGGTCCTCAATTTACCTACCTTAGAAAGGATGGAAGGCTGAGTCAACCTTGAGCGTGGCGAGATTCGAACCTGCAGTAATTGCAGGCAGCTGGTCGTAATAACAGGGTGCTTTAGACCACTGTACTACCAAGGCTCTTTTATAATATTTCCCAAAATATTTCATTCTTCTAGGAAAGGGGTGGGTGTTAACTTTCTACACGAGACATGGAGTAAGACAAAAACAGGCAAGACATAAACATACAAAATGAGATACTGAAACTTGAAGAGAAGGTAGCGGCGCCAAAAATAAGCTTAAGTAAATAATGACCATTGACTGTCATTGATTGGTATGAAATGTCTCCTTTCCATGATGAACCAAGCATGGAAAATCTAGTTTAAATTGTTTTTCACTTCCCCAGCTGGATTTTTTCTTTGTAATTTGAAAAGAAATTCATAAAAAGTCTAATGGATTGAAGGAAGAGGAGTTGTGTGTTGGACAGGCCTTTATCCAATATCTCATGATACATGTTTGGATTTAATTAAGTCAAAATCCTTCTCTACTTCAGCCATAACAAACATGAATAATCCTTTCCCATCTGGTGAGAATATAGATTAACTGACTGATTGGATATGTAAGGCCACCCAGTTGTCAAAGAACTCAAAGTGGCATGCAAGACAATTTAATAACAATTTGACAACAATACAATAAGAGTAGAAATATCAAATAGCAAACAACCATCCAAGATACACAAAAATTAAAACAGATGTAGCAAATAAGCAAGTTAAGGGGTGATAACGAGGGAGCAAGAACATGTATTCTCCCCAATATTAACTTCTAGAGCCAAAATATTATAAAACTGGGATTGGAATGCCAAACGTTACAGGTTAAAGTGACAGAAATCATTGCTTGCTGAGAAGCAAGCAAGATAAAAATAAGATCTGAAGTTAGAATTTCCGGGTTCATAGACTGAGACTGTGCCTTAGAATGCAGTGACAGAATTTCAATCTCTGCAAACTTATTCCTGTAGGTTACAATATCAACTATAATTTCATAGAGATGATGAAGCAATTCATATCTCATAATCATCTTTCTGGACTATTATTTAAAGCCACATAAATATTTCAAGAAAATCTACAAGGAAATTTTCTAGTTAAGAAATTAGTTCCATTGATTAATCATATTCAATACTCAGGTGGCCTAGAGACTCATGTAATGTATGAAGTATGCATTGCTAATGGTGTTTTCCTACAATGAATGATTTGTCAATAATGTTAAATGGAACTCCAACTGAAACATGACATGATGTATTTATAACAAATGACCATATGTAATCCAATACATAAACATCTTGAGCATTGGCTAAAGAATGCTTTAAAGGAAGAAAGAGGAAGAGGAAGGGAAAACTTAGGTAAATATAGAATCTTTTGAACCATTCTTTGGAACAAGCAATAGAAAACATCTCAGGAGGAACTATTGCTCTCCTGATTTATCAGAGAAAGGTCATTCAGATGTTTCTAAGAATAATCTTTGGGTTGTTCATTGTAAATACAAGTAAGAGAAAAGAAGGAAAAATATCTCAGTAATGAAGAATGCAAACAAAGGTAGCTCGAATGGAATATAAGGAAGGAATATAGGCTACCACCTATATTTTTTTTTAGTATTGCAGGAGCTCTCAATATATTATAATGAAAAACTGAATGTTACAGCCTCTGTTTTTATTTAAGAGATTTGCAAATGATTCAGTTTGTATCAGGAATTCAGCAGCCTCTTCCTGTTCCTCTTTTAGTCAAAATGTGAAATCAGACAGTTTAAACAGTGCTTCCCACTTGTTTTGTGCAGTTTTTCAGGTGATTTAAACTCTCTGCCCAAGCCAAGGACATTGTACTGTCTCTTGGTGCATAAGCTGACAGCCCTCCTTCTTCTTAAGCATTGCATCTTTACATCTAAAGTGTCCTCAGTTCCCTGGGGTTGTCTAATGATACAGAACAAGGTGGCATGTGTATTTGTGTGTAAATCACAGCCAAAGATGTATGGTCAAGTGCCATTTACCTTTTCTTGACAAATCCTTTATTACTGAGATTAAAAAAGGTTAACATTTACCTTTGGAGTAGCACAAATCATTTGTGATAGATAGAGCTTTATTAGCTCAGAGATATTTTTTTTAAATAGCAATTAAATTCCTTAAAATGTGTTGCCATGAGCTGCTTACAAATAGCCTTGCTATTTCTAGTATCAGAATCTGGGATATAAAAGACAGCATACTGTTTAGGGAACCTAGAATCTATACAGTTGAAAGACCAAACCTAAATCTATCTTCCTTCCTTCCTTCCTTCCTTCCTTCCTTCCTTCCTCCCTCCCTCCCTCCCTCCCTCCCTCCCTCAGCTCTCATAGTTTCCTGCCATTCCAGCTGAGGGAAAGTTCATTCCAATTCAAAGATTTCTTGCAATGTCAACACTATTTTCTCTCTCTCCCACTTCTTCCCCTTGTAAGACAAAGAATATTCCCCAGTTCTGTAATAATACATAAACTAAACTGGGTTGAAATCTCTTTGAGAGACCTGATAAGAGAGGAATTAATGTTCTTTTGAAGAAGAGCCTACATTGGACTGGTGCCTGGTCCAAAATTAATTGATTGACTCCAGTTTCTTCATATGAGTAGGTTAATCTGATAGTGTCTCTCCAAAGCTCACTTTTGAACTAGTGCACATTTATGCAAGTGCACACTATGCTACTGTTCAACTGTTTTGAGGAGACTCACCGGTTTAATTAAACATAACAAAACAAAAATCCCACAGTTATGCCTAATAAAGAACCTTCAAAGCCATAAACCCTACAAATTATTTTTGACCTAAGACAACGGCATCTGTACTGAACCTTTGCCTCAATTTACTTGCCCAATTCCTCTTAATTTCATTTTCATTTTCTTTCATTTCTCTTTTTTCCCCCCCAGACTGTTACTCTCAAGACATCTTCTAGTCGGTAATATTAGGACTCTAACTCATAAGCATTGATAGTTTTAACCTGGTCATTGAGAATTAATGTAGTTCTGCATTCATACAATACGTTGAAGCATAAATTCATAAAAAAGGAAGTCACCAAAAAAAAAAGGTGAGCATAAAGATGTTTTGCACATATAAGCTTTGGCTCTTTCCTTGATCTGGTTAAGCATGTTGTGTGAACATGGCCACAATCTCCTGATTTTTTTTTTAACTTGCCCTTCTCAGAGGTACGCCTTCTTGCTCCCAGAAACACTTGTTCCTCTACCAACACAATCCTCACTGCACATGTTTACGTACCCACTTTATTACAAAGCTGAACACTAAGGCATCTAAAGGTTGCAAAGTATATTACAGAAAGGATGAACATTAAGGAAGGACATCGTTGGAGAAATCATTCATTTTAAAACCAAAGAGGCATAATAAAAAGGAACAAAGTGTGTTGTTGAAAACCAGACAGTGGCCTCTAGCATTTTTTTTTTAAGAAAAGAAGCACAAGAGACTTATTTTCTCTACAGATATAGTACACACAAACCCAGTCTTACTCCTTTTCTCCAGCCTTAAGAGGAACCTGCTCTTCTCTTCTCACAGTGCTGAAATTGACTTATAAAAACTGCAGAACATTTCTAGATCACACACAAATATATATAACACAGTTCAGTCCCACTTCCTAATTCTCTGGGACAAGAGCTAATCTTCATCTTCATCTATTTATGATTTTGCACACTCCTCAGGATTGCAATATTTTTTTTCTGAACTGTTTGGGACCAGGAAGTGCTTCCCTCAGAAAAGGGAGGAAAGGAAAAGCTGCTTTATTTAACAGGATAATCCTGGGAATGTTTTGCTTTTTAATGGGGTAATAAGTGGTGGATTTCTGCTCAAGCCTGAATAAAACATCAAAGAGACACGACTCCTAAATCAGGGAGGGAAATAAAGAAGTGGGTGATTTAAGATCCCAGGGGGAAAAACACAATTCAGGTATCAAAAGACCCAAGAGAGAGGACTAGAAAAGCATTTATTTGGAGTAATAAGAATTCAGCCGGAGGAAAAACAGAAGTTATGGGAAATCCGAGTTGCACTGTATGCCGAAATCGGAAAGGATAAGAAACAGGTCCTTCCTTACCTTGACCAATTACTCTTCCTTAGAATCTGATCTGTAATATTTGGAAACGAAGGAAGCCGGAGATCTTTCAACTATTTGGGGGAGGTGTTTGCTTCTTTTCTTTTTTCTTTTAAAGCAAACCCGTATGTATCTTCAGCACCCCTTGTTAGAAAAGCGATTCGCCAGAAGACCGCGGAAGGTTGATCCCTTAGAATCCAGTAGGTCCCTGCAGGATTTCTAGTGTCTTGAAAGGGAAGGAGGGAGAGGGAATTTGAGAGCGGGGGGGAGAGGAGGAGAAGGAAAATCGAAATCTGTGTCTCTGCCTACAAAAACGGCTGCGGGGATCAATACAGCACACCTCTTCCACCCACCCCGCCATGCACACACATGCACACCCTTTAAAAAATAATAACAATAATAATAATAAATTTTAAAAAAGGAGCGGGAGATAGAAAATTGCAGAAGGCGCGTCTCGCTGCAAAAAAAAAAAAACTTGGCAAGCCGAACGAATCCAGGGGTTTCCAAGTCGGGCAGGAAGAAAAATTAAAAGTGGCTTTGCGAGGGAGCAGGGCAGGTCGGCGCACCTGTGCGTGGCCGCGTGTAAAAGACACACACTCACACACACACACACTTGGGTCCACGCAGAGGCGGCTTTTTTTTCTTTTTTTTTTTTTTACCAAAAGAACACCCGAAGCAAGTGGAAGGGAAGGAGGTGGCGGGGGAGAAAAGATCCCAAGGAAGAAAAAAAGGCAGCCGGGATTCCGGTCAGAGGAGAACGGCTTCCCCAGCTATACATTTCCGGACGAATAAACGGGACGCCGAGCCCAAAAGGGGGAGAGAAAAAAAAAAAAAAAGAGCCTTCTGCAACCGGACTGCCTCTCCTCCCTCGCCTCCGCTGCTGCTGCTGCTGCTGCTGCTACCTGTAGACATTAGAGCGAGGCGCGGGCGCGGAGTGAGGCGCGCGCGCGCGCCCCCGGCTACCCGCACGGCGACCGACCGAGCTCGCAGCTGGGCGAAGCGCGCGCGCGCGCCTCCTCGCGCCCTCTTTTTTTTTTTTTTTTCCCTCACAGCGGCAGGCAGAGCAGGCACCCGAACAGCCTCCTCCTCTTCCTCCCTCCTCCTCCTCCTCCTCTTCCTCGAGCTTTTCCCTGGCCTCCCGTTTTAGGCTCCGAGAGGCAGGGCGCTCCTGCCTTTCAGCCTGGCGGAGAAGTGGGAATCTGTCTCGCGTGCTGAGGGGGGGGGGTGTGGGGCGGGGGGGGGGGGGGGGGGGGGGGGGGGGGGGGGGGGGGGGGTGACAGCGCCTGTGCGCGCGCATCCCTCTCTCTGTCCTGCCGCCTTTCTCTTTCCCTCTCTCTCTCTCTCTCTCTCTCTCTCTCTCTCACACACACACACACACACACACACACACACACACACTGGGGGGGGCAGGGTTGGTGGGAAAAGCCCCAACGTCACCTGTGACGTTAGACGGAGTGTCAAAATCTTGTCCAGATGTGGAGAGGGAACGGTGGCAGAGAAGTGGGGAAAGAGGACAGTCCTTGAAGTTTCCTCTGGGGACTTTTCCCCCCCCCCTCTGTTCAACACCTCCCACCACCACCCATTCCTCTCTTCTACAACGTACAGATAGTCCTTATCTCAGTTCACTTAGCGACTCTTCAAAGTTACAGCAGCACTGGAGAAAAGTGACTTATGACCGCGTTTCACAATGATGACCATTGCAGCGTCCCCATGGTCACGTGATTGAAATTCGGTGACTTGACAACTGACTCACATTTATGACGGTTGCAGTGTCTCGGAGTCAGGTGATCCCCTTTTGCGACCTTCCGACAAGCAAAGTCAATGGGGAAACCCACCTCTTAAGAGCGGTGTTACTAATTTAAGAACTGCGTGGACTCACTTAACAAATGTGGCGAGAAAAGATGTAAAATGGGGCAAAGCTCACTTAATGAATTTCTTACTTAGGGACATACATTTTGGGCTTGATTGTGGTCGTAAGTTGAGCACTACCTATAATTGGGGAATTTTTCATTGTTAGGTGGCTAGTTATGGATGTATAACCAAATTGTGGCTTGCTTTAATTTGTGAATCCTATGAAAGAGATTCGGTTTGTGCTAAGTGCTTACTCGGCTGAACCCACGAGTGCATAACTGGTCCATGTCCAATGTTCTAGGTTCGCATGATACATGTGGAAGTATTAACTGAGCATTTTAGCTGGGTTCACACAGTGCACAAAGCAGTGCCCTGCCCCTTTGCACATGACTGCAGTGTGTATGATGGCACATTGCAAAAGTGGATTTTAGGAGATTAAAAACATGGAAGAACCAAGAGAAGTGCTAGAGACCCTAGAATGAGAGCAAAATGACTGAAGACAAAGTACAACTCCAGTGTGAAAAAAATATTAGAAGGCAGATCAAGAAAATAAGTACAAAACGAAAGGGATGAAGATGTAGAAACTGAAAGGAACAGAGTGGAAAACACTGTGTTACTCAGGATCATGTAGAGAGCTACGCTAATGGTAGCCATGAAAAAGGATGCTTGATAGAATGATGAAGTAAAAGAGACTGTGGATGTGAAAAATGCATACAAAGAACCAATGCAAAAATTCTATGGAGAGAAAAGTGATGCAAGGAGCAACAAAGTTGAGAGAATTGGGGAAAATACAATTTCTAATGGTATTAACAAATTGTTTGAGACTGGGAGAAAGGGCTAAAATCAGATCCACCAGCAGAGGGTTACAGTTAAGGACACTTGTTAAACAGGCCATTATGGGAACCCTTCAATGCCTGCCAGGCAGCTACAGTGCAAGCCAAGCTGTAAATAACATGAGAATATCTTCACCTGACTCAAAGCATTGTTGCTCACTTTTGTTTCAGGCCTTCAACTCTTATTTGGGGAAATCATATGATAAAATGAAAGAGATTGAATTATGAAAGGATTTGAGAAAATATACAGCAGAAAGTTGGTTGTTAAGAGTATTATATGATGGACGTGAATTATGCATGAGAATAAATGGTATATGAAGGAGACAAGGATGTGTGATGTCCTTTGGATTTTTTAATGTACAGTATTTTTGGATAAATATATAAGATATTTGAGATGTGTTATTTGGGGACATAAATATATTTATATATACTATTGGTGATGCTATGGAACTGGTTAAATATCTAAATGATTTGTAGCAAACATTAAATATGTTGCAAGTGATGCAAGAAGGAACAAGGATCTAAAAAACTAATATATCTAAAACCAAAATAGTTGAGTTTGACAAAGAAAATGGAGTGAACAATTGAATGTTATACATACATGGCAGAAATTAAACCAAATAGATGTATTTGTACACCTTGGTACAACAGAGAATATGAAACAAAATTAAGATCTGCAATCGTTGGTAGAAAGGTGAGTGAAATAAGTTTGCTGAAAATACTTTGATTAAGAGAGTGTGTTTGCCATTCTTGGGAAGTGTGAGGTAGATATGTCAAAAGAAACATAAAAGTAAACTAAATACAGTGGTAATGGAGAACTTAAGAAATAAGTAAAAAATAAAAGAGAAAGAACAATGGAAGCTGAGCAAATCTGGATTGAACAGAAACCTGAGTGACCTGTAAGTTATGGCAGTTCAGGCATCTAGAAAGAATGGATTAGAACTATGGTAAATTGGAAGGAAGGAGGGAGGGAGGGAGGGAGAGAATGTGGAGGGGGGGGATTAAAAGAGCAAAAAACATGAAATGATAGATGGATGTGTTGGAAGCAAAAAGGGTTTGCAAAAATAGAAAAGCATAGCCAGGACTAGTGAATGGTGCTGGTATAAACCAGATTTGTCTTTTCCTTTTCCTTTCTTCTTATTTCAGATCTACAATTTCTTTGTCTTACTATATCATACTCCTTATTTTGTGTAATGTTACTGAACCCAAAAGGGAATTGTGTGATATGAGTCTATATGTGTAAGCTGTAGATCATATTTCCCCAAACTTCCCATCAATTGCATTTCACTTTTCCCCTGTGCTAAGGGCAGACCTTGAAGTTAAAATCTACAACATGGTCAGACCATCAGAGCTGTGGAAGGCCATCATTTCTGCTAGTAATACTTAACATTTGTTTAGTTCACAGTAAACTAAGTTAGTTAAAAACCTAGCATTTACACTCCCACAGTATGCTAGGCTTATTTTAATCGTGATTTGATTGAGTATGACTATGGTTGATTTATGATTCAACAATGAGCGAACCCAGTAACAAGGACTGATTTAAGTCATCAAGTTATTGAAATTATAAATTATATAATAGGTCAACAGAATGAAACAGAAAGAGATTGCTAACTAATGTTCCCTAAGAAGTTTGGGACAGAAACAAGTCAGACATGTTTGATTTTATTTGCTTTTGTTGCATACAAATGATATTTGGAGCTGAAAATGGGGAGATAATTTATAGAACTTGGCTTACCCCGATTCTTTTTATGTAGTTCCCACATTCCTCAGCAATGCCATAGCAGCTGATCAGGGGTGGGCTTCAAAAATTTTAGCAAGGGGTTCTCTGCCCAGTTGCTGGGTGGGCATGGCCATGGTGGGCGTGGCCTAGTCAGCCTCCTGCACCACAATGAGGAGGGGGCATTTTTGCCCTCCCCGGGCTCCAGAGGCTTTCCTCAAACCCCTGGAAGGGCGAAAATGGCCTCCACAGGCTCTGGAGGCCGTTTTCTGAATTTCCAGTAGGCCTGTTTTTCACCCTCCCCAAGCCTCCGCACACACCATGCACTTACCTGCATCCAAAACAGGCCACGTGGAGACTCCTGGGAGGGGCAGGGCAGGGTGGGTGGGGCCAGCCAGGAGTGGAATTTGGGGGTTCTCCGAACTGCACAGAATCTTAGTTAGAGGTTCTCCCGAACCCCTGCGAACCCCCAGCAGCCCACTTCTGTAGCTGATATTCTGTTAAAATTAATCTCAACACTTAAAATTAAACCCAGTTATTAGGCTGTATAAAAAAGAAGTGAATGATCTGTAAGAAAAAAAATAAATCCAGTGTTTGCCCTGGACCATCTACTTCTTCTGAATTTGCCTACTTTTGGGAATGCAGGCCTTAACATGCCACCCAAGGTAAAACTCAAAAATGGAAAGACATTTCAATCCCCACAATGAATGAATGGCTGGAAAAGTTGATGGAGTTAGCAGAGATGGATGAATTGACTGCTTTGATAAAAAATACCCGCACAATTACTTTTGTTTCTACTTGGAAACCTCTTCTGGGCTTTGTGCTTTAATAAACAAACAAACAAATAAATAAATAATAAAGATAAGTGGGGGACAAACTATTTTCCGAAACACCAAAAAGAAACAATGAATGGTAACTAACCAAGGAGAGAAGCAATCTAAGGAGAAAGGTGAGAGCCATCAACCAATGGAAAAGCTTGCCTTCAGAAGCTGTATGTGCTCCATCACTGGAGGCTTTCAAAAAGAGACTGGACAACCATTTGTCTGAAATGGTATAGAGTCTCCTGCTTGAAATGGGATTGGATAAGACTCCATTCTATGTTCTAAAACTATTAGATAATATTAGTGAGTTTATTCCATGTATTACTCTTCTGTAGCTTTCACTTATCTGAGTAGGTGGCAACACATGCTATAAACAAGTGATATGATCTCGGAAGACCAGGAGATTCTTCTGTGGTTGGTGCAGAGGTGGGTTTCAGCAGGTTCTGACCAATTCTGGAGAACTGGTAGCGGAAATTTTGAGCAGTTCGGAGAACCGGTAAATACCACCTCTGACTGGCCTTCCCCCATCTATTCTCTGCCTCCCGAGTCCCAGCTGATCGGGAGGGAATGGAGATTTTACAGTATCCTTCCCCTGCCATGCTCACCAAGCCACGCCCACTAAGACATACCACACCCACCAAGTCATGCCCACAGA